TAACCTAACTTAATAAAAAACTCAGAGTAACATGCTAAAAAACAAACTGAATAACCAACCCAACCCAATTGAAAAATAAAACCGTACCTAAAGCAGTAACCCAACTTAATGAAAACATACATAGTATAAGTTTAATTTTCCTTCTTCATAGTTTTAGGTCCTTTCTTAATGAATTGCAAATTGCCAACATAAAAGTAAGGTCTTATTTTGCTGTACCATTCTAAAATCCTAACCAACGTACTAACATAACCTAAGAAACATTGAAGTGCCAAACCCAAACTGAATAGCCAACTTAATGAAAAAACCACAGCAGTAACCTAACCTAATTAAAGTAAAATGATAAAAGTTTGTCTTGATTTTCATCTTTCATTTTCCTCCAAAAAGTATGAAACATTACCATTCAAATAAACGGATTATATATGGATACACATGTTTTGGGCATAGTTTTGCCACATATAAAATAGTTTTGTCTAGTACAAGGTATGTTTTTGAAAACTGGATATACAATGCAGGAATACAGTATTATCCAACATAACATAAACGAAATGGTGTTAGGTAAAAGGGAAGTTGGATGAATTGGCTTTCAGATGAAATTAATGCAACAGTTTATGCATCTACGAAAAATACAAAGTTCTCAACGAGTAGGGAAAATTTGATGCTGGAAGTAGGCCAACGTGGGAGTGGGCCTGTCAAGTATTCCTAGTTCTTGTTATAACGTGGAAGTGGCTAAAATTTTTGATTCAACGGAATGCAGTAGAATTTTTTGTTGGAATATGAGTATTCACGATGATTTAATAAAGCTGTTCATAACTATTGGCCTCAGTGAACAGAAAGCCTTGGAAACACTAAAGAATGACGTGTTAACCAAGCATTTGAAGTATGCTATCGAGGAGGTAAGGAATGAATGGCAACAATTTTTGCTAATAGGGTGTGTGGAGTGCCTTCATTTCAGTGCACATTGATATGTTCACAAGTAAAAATATAACTGGATGATTTTATTATTAGGTTATTTTGTCACGTAAAAAATAGTCATTGATGTGGACCTGATTTCAGTTGCATCATTTTATAAAATATGCCGTGCTGGAAATGTGTCTGCTTTGCCGAATTACACGTCACCTTCATCCCATAATTTAAATACTGTTATCAGTGGTTTGAATTACAGACTTAGCCAATAAGTTAGTTACTGATTACAAATGTAGACCCATTTCTTAAGTCCTATAAGTAGGATTAAGAATATGTCAGATTGCAATACACCATGTTCAGACAATACTTATAAATGCAGAACAATCATTGTTTGCAGATTAAAAATTTACCACCTTCCATTTTACATATCCATTAGAAGATGTGCATAGAATTACCCATTTCTTTCCTCTTGTTGCAGGCTGTTGGTAATGGTGGCACATTGCAGCAAATTGGAATGTTATTGTATCACCTAGCTGCTAAAATTAAAGTTCAGATCAATCACTTCATCCCTGTGATAGTTGAATACATAGCTGCAAACAAGATTGATTCACAGCAGCGAATTGATGGCAAGTATTAGATTTTACTTTTCTTTGCAATGTCATTATTTTTGTTCCAACTTGTATTATGAACTGTATATCATAAATCATGAAACAAAATTGTGGTGTTTTAAATTCAAAAAGTATAATAAAATCATCTTGGGCAACAAGCTGTGTTAGTTGTGGTTAGAAGCCCAACATATTGGTAACCATCTCCACTTCCATCCATTGATGATTTTTATTTAAATGATTGAAGTTTCCTCCTGTGCAGTCAAACATCATGTCATTCTCCTGATGATTGAGGCAGAGATAGTGTCTGAAACATGGGACATTTGTCTCCCGTTAGTATGGCCTGTTGCCCAAGAAGATTTTATTGAGTTTAGTTGCTGTGAATTCTTCAAGTCTTTTGTGTGTGTGTATATATATATATATATATATAAAGATATTTAGAAAGGATTCTTATTGACTGTTTTAAAAATGTTTGACTCTGTTGGGAATTTCTTATTCTTCTTGTGCATAGATTTTATCCCTTGAATGTTGCCAGATTATATATGCATATTTCAGCATCATTTTGGCACCTGGCTTTTCTCTTTGTAAAATTAGCCAGTCTCTTCCAGTCACATACACTCAAGGCCAAGGAGTGCAACTGGAGACAAATATATCCGTCTTTGGTCAAATATCCTACACTTGGTCCAAATGATAATATTAATTTTTATGATTTACAGCTGCCTTGGATTATTTATTATCACATTTGAAGGGGGATTTCAATGTAAAAGATTTTGAAACTGCTTGTGGAGTTGGTATTACTGTCAGTCCGGAGGAAATTGAACATGTCGTAGAAAATGTAATAAAGAAACACAAAGATGAATTACTGGATAAAAGGTATGTTTAGTGCAAAATTTTCCAGTAATAAGTCTCATACTTTATGTATTGATATGTTATGACAAATACTGTTTGTTTAATTACACCTTAATTATGAACTAGTGATGCATATAATTAAGTGTTTAGATTTCAGAACAAGTGTGATAAGGTGTGCACAAATAGAATTTACATATTTTTGTAATGCATCCTTTACTATTTTGCATACATTATTAGCCTTTTTATGTTGTGCTACATAATTAATTGTACTGCAGGTATCACAGCACTGAGTAAGAAATTATCTTTCCTAATATTTTATTATGTGAACACTATATTGAAAAGTATTTTTAGTAAAGTTTGTAAGTCATAATGAGATCTTTCATTGTAGGTTATGTATAATATTTTTAATGAGCCATTATACAGAAGTATGATATAATTTGATTTACTTTAATGAAAGGTAGGGGTTATACACATAAAAATGAACCAAAATTAAATTTGCTCTGCAACTTTTAATGTAGTTTGCTAGTATCAAATTTGATTAAAATTTGTTAAGTATTCTTAGTGTTTTTGGAGATGAAACATACAGTCAGATGGGAGGATGGGCAGAGTTTGACTTATATGCATTTAATTTGCACAAAGAACACACAAAATATGTAGGAACATAAAACTTTCTTTTAAGAGTAATAAATTGGTGATCTGATTTTTAATAGATCTCATACTTTATTTTATTTTTGTGTTTGTCAGGTACCGGTTTAATGTGGGGGTTGTCATGCAGGAGGTACGGCAGGAGCTGAAATGGGCTGATGGAAAAGCAATTAAAAATGAAGTAGATATGCAGGTGTTAGATTTACTGGGCCCCAAAACTGAGGCTGATTTCTCACTTCAAATAAAGCAAAGCAAAAAGGTGAAATCTGGCAAGCCTAGTGCAGAATCAAGAGAATTGGCAAAGGATGTTGAGCTCATTGTTGTGAATGAAGGTCAGTAATATATAATGGATGTTATTTTCTCATTAGAATTGGACAGTTATGTCTAGAAGTGAAATGCTGGGTTTTTTATATTTGAGAGAAAATATATTGTTAGTAATTAAATAATTAAGCTAGAGTGAAGTACAATATTAACATTTTTTTTTATAGGTGAAGTGACTCATTCTGCCATTTCTGTTCGTGAAATTATGAAAACCAAAGTTCATTTTCATAAACCAGGGGAGAATTATAAAACAGATGGCTATGTGGTAACTTCAAAAACCATGAAACTTTTGCAGGAACACTTGAAGCTGACAGGAGGACAGGTAACCTTACAAACAAACTTGATTACGTATAAGGTGAAGCTTTCGCAGCGACTGAAGTTAATGAAATGAATGGTGTAATGTATGGTTTCTTTGATATAGGTAAGAACAAGATTTCCACCAGAACCTAATGGAATTTTACATATTGGCCATGCAAAGGCTATAAATATTAACTTTGGATATGCTGCAGTACATGATGGTGTCTGCTTCTTGAGGTACGATGACACCAATCCAGAGAAAGAGGAAGAGAAGTTCTTTGTGGGCATCAAGAACATGGTAGAGTGGCTTGGTGGGTAAGATAGGCTGAATTTGATTTTTTCTCTGTGAGCAAGTTGCACTCTGAGTATTTCAGATTGGAGTCACTAATCTGGGCTGTATGTAGGTATGTAAGTTGTGCTTGACACCCCCCTTTTCTCCTCTTCACATTTTATGAAAATAAATTCTTTAAGAAAAATTTAATGTTTTTCTACAATCTTGGCTGCAAATGGTGTCTTCTCTTCAGATTTCCCAATAAAAATTTTTAATGCATTTTTCACTGTTGCATGTTTCAAAAATTCAAGATCCTACATTCAGTGACACTAGAGTAATTTATAAGACTGCTTGGTTGTCATGTTGATATTATTACTGGTAAGGAATTCATTTTTTTATGCACTGGGGCTGTCTAAATACTATTTAAAACTTCAATTCCTACCTTGAAGAAAATATGACAAAATTTCATTACAAAACCCATAAATACACTCACCCAGTGTTTTTGAATTTTAAAGGAAGTTGTATATGTAGTGACTACTGTGCTTTAAAGATCTTTGACATCATGGTGTTTGTATCAGAGTTATTAAATATCTGTGATTTTGTTAAAGTTTAGAGGGATAAGCGATATTATGAAACCATATACTTGTCTTTCCTTATAAAATATGGAAATTAGAGTGAAAAACAATTTAATCATATCATCTTGCTTTTGTATCACATGTAATCTGTGTTAATGTGTTTTTGTGTATGTCCAGGTTACAAACCATACAGAGTCACACATTCATCAGATTATTTTGACCAGCTGTATGAGTGGGCTAGAGTGCTGATCAAGAAGGGCTTTGCATATGTGTGCCACCAAAAACATGAAGAAATCAAGGGTTTCAATCCTCCTCCATCACCCTGGAGAGAGCGTCCAGTGGAAGAAAATCTTCGCCTTTTTGAGGTTAAATATATTCCACTGAAATATAAATATTCTTGGCTTGAGACATTTCATGTAAAATATTTTATTCCACCCACTATGCATCATGTGAAACCTGTGTATGTGCGTGTGTATCATACGTGTGGAGAGACCAAGAAGAGGTGAAACATATTCAGTTCATTTTTATCTTTACCTTTATTACTATAGGCTGTTTCCAGATGTACATGAAAGCTGTGTAAGCAAAATTAAAGGCTTTGACAAAGCATGGCTTAGGACGCGTATCCAATCATATAATGAGGTAGATACTTTGAAAAATGAAAATGTTGATCTGAATGATTAAATATGTTACCTTCCTGTGCACAAACTTGTCTTTCTCAGAATAGGGTCTGATAGATGGCTTTTGTGAAAGTTGTGATGAATGTTTAGGTTGCAGAAATGTTGGATGTTTCTTGACGAAATGATTTTCCAGGAAGACCTTGTTGCTTGAAATTAGCTAACCTGTGTTGTGCTGGAATTGAGGATTTAAACCCAGTACTGGAGTATTGTCAAGTTGACTTTATCTCTGAGGATCACTGGTTTAGCAGTATGCTACTGCTATGTGACCATCTGGAAACAGTGATGCATGGCTGACAAAGATTAAGAAAGTTATTACACTTATCTCTGCCTATGTCCACAAATAACAAATTTTTACTCCTCTTTTCTCATTTGCAGGACATGAAAAATGGTAAATTAGAAGAAGGAGAAGCAACTCTGAGGATGAAGATTACATTAGAGGAGGGAAAACAAGACCCTGTAGCTTACAGGATAAAATTCTTTCCACATCACCGTACTGGAGACAAATGGTGTATTTATCCGACGTATGACTACACACATTGCCTATGTGATTCCATTGAACATATTACGCATTCTCTGTGCACCAAAGAATTTCAGAACAGGTACTGCTTATTTATTTTAAACCAGATATTGAAGGCTGTTTTCATAACTGACAAGATTATAGATGTAAAGAGCATGAAGATTGTGTATGACGTGCATATTTACCATCTTCCAATTCTGCTTTGTATTTGGAAGATCCCAGTTCAATTCTCAGTCCAGAGGTTGGCTGTCATGAGTTTTTCTTGGTTTTTATCAGTTCTCCAAATAAATGATGGTTTACAGCCTTAAAATTAGGTCATTAATGCTTCCTTCCACATCCTCCCAAATTAATAATTAATAGACATTCCCATTCAGTGCTGTATAATCTGTACAGCTGAGGAAGCAATGTTAGTTTGCTATTGAACAGACCATCTCACCTCCATTAGCTATGACCATGTAGTGTGCATTATTGTTATAGCACCAACTGTTCACTTAACCATGTTTGTATCTGTTAGGCTTTCTCACAATATTTTGTTATTTTTCAACCATAATTTTTCCATGATATATTTTTAGAGAGAGATGTTATTTGACTGTCTTCATGTTCCTTTCTGGGAACAAGACTTCATGTGACTGTTTGGGTATTGTACAGAGTTTTTCAACATATGGTTAGGGACAGACATTTTACGGGCATTCTACCCATGAATGAGCACAGTTATCATCATCAATTAATGTACCCACCATAGTGTGCTGTCTCTGACAAGAGCTTAATTGTCATCTGTTCTTCTGTAAATGCTTCTCTTGTGTGTGTCCATTCTTTTGTTTATTTTCCCTCACTTTGTTTCTTCACATTGTCTTTGTTCTCCACTGTTGTCATTACTAAACATATTAATTTTTTATGCTTTCAGAGGAATCCTGATTTTGTCTATCTGTAACATAAATGAAGGTAGCACACTATTGAATTTAGATTAGTTTGTCTATAGGTACAGTAACATTAGCATAACTGTTTTGAAATGTTTAAAGCTATTTTTTTAATTGTGATTTCATGTACATGAATGATTTTTCAGACGCTCCTCTTATTACTGGCTTTGTAATGCCTTGGATATTTATTGCCCTGTTCAGTGGGAATATGGTCGTCTAAATATGAACTACACTGTTGTTTCTAAGAGGAAAATTGCTAAGTTGATATCAGAAGGCATAGTAAATGGTAAGTTTCAGTTACCTAAGTACATTTGTTTCTTGTGTAATTTATGGATCATCATTATTTCACTGCCATGAGCCATTCCAGTTTGGTTATTTGTGGTCTGCACTAAAAGGTTCTTGGAAAGGTTTCATCCCATTCTGTATCCATTCAGTATTACCCATCCTTTGCATTGAGTGCATTGTATCTTGTAATAGTAATTTAATCATGTGATATATGAGGTTTTGATGGTGGTGAATGTTTGGATTTGGTTTACAAGCTTATGACTCCAAATGTCTTCAGCCCTGAAGACAGAGGTGCCAAAATGTTGGTTACCACCTACAAGACTACATGGTGTTATAACCCAGAAGACTATATTTCACAATTATTTTTATGTGAATATTGTGGAAATGAAATTTTTACTGTTTGAATGATTTTCTCTTCTAGGAGCATAACATTATAAGAAAAAAGAAAAGGTTTGAATAATTTAAATTATTTTTTGATTTCACTTTATACCTTTTTGACAACTACAGAGAGAATTATTCCACAATTTTACATCTACAAGAAACAATCATATTTGATCCACAACAAATATTGTTTATCAGAATTATGTCATTGTTATGTGATTCAAATTGAGAAGAAAGTTAACAAACATTTTCAATATACCATTTGGCCACATGAACAAAATAAAAGTAGGTTGTCCAGAATGGCAGTGAGAATGAAATCAAAAGGAAAAATCTGTATGGGAAAGCTGAAAATGTGGTGGATGGACCAAGCGAGGGTAGGAAAGGAGAGACTAGACATCAACAGAAATAACAGGTTTGAAACTGTGGGAGGATATACAAGTATGAAAGCTTTTATCTATGTTTGCCCAGTGCCAAAGGACACAATAATATTCCTTGTATAATCCTTTATAAATTTTACTTTCCTTAATTTGTTTTATTTCTGCCATTTCTATGCTGAAGATTTGTTGAGAATATAATTATTTTTCATTACAGATTGGGATGATCCTCGTTTATTTACATTAAGTGCACTTCGGAGACGAGGATTTCCACCGGAGGCTATCAATAACTTCTGTGCCCAGATTGGTGTGACAGGAGCTCAAGCTGTTGTGGATCCACAAATGCTTGAAGCATTTGTTCGTGATTTTCTCAATACAACTGCCCCAAGGTACCAGCTTTATACATTGACCTTTTTATGTAGGATTTGAGGTTTTTATGGTGGTGAGTATGAAGATGACTGTCTTCCGGTTCATAGCATCATGTAGTCTGGTAGACGTTTGCAAATGTTTCAGAGATTCTTTCTGTCTCCATCATCATGGTGATATCTATCAGACTACACAGCACTACAATCCAGAAACCAGCCATCGTCAATCTTTTTATGTTTTTACTTAGCTTATTCATCATTATAAGCTAAATAGGAGTGGATGAGATGAAGAATGATTATGTGTGGGAAGTTGGTAAAGATTTGAAATTGCATGTTTGTGACTATTTGAAATCACTGTCTGAGCATTAACTAAGAGAGGAAATTATGATAAACTTACTTGAGGATAACCATTAATGTAGCATGAATGGGGGCAAAAAGAAATATGTACGGAATTTTGTTTAGAACACTTCAAATGAAGAGAGTACTTGAGATGTACATATATGTACATAGGAGAATAATATCAAACAGATTGTACTGATTTTATGTTAGACATTGCCGACTGTCTGAGGTACATTTAGTATAGTGTTTTGGGAGGTTATACAGTCATTGTCAAGTGATCGATTTGATCACTATTAATGTTTGGAAGAAAAGTGTATAACGCAAAGCTACTCATTATGCTGCTTTTCCAGCTTATTGTTCCTTTCTTTATCTCAAGTCCAAACATTCTCATCACATACACAGATTGTTATCAGAATCATATTTAATGTGAAGATAGATTGAATCCGAAAGATTGTAAAACTCTGTGAAATGGTTAAAACAATCTATATTCCTTAAATTTGGTTGTGTATGAATATGTTACTGTAATTAATATTTTAATCACTTCTGATAACATTGATGGTTTATATTTCAGGGCTATGGTTGTTTTGGAACCCCTGAAAGTGAAGATAGTAAATTTTCCTTTGCCTAAAACAGCAGACATTCAAGTCCCAAATTTCCCCAATGATCCACAACAAGGATTTCACTTTGTGCCTTTTGACAGGGAATTGTATATTGAACGCACTGACTTTAAGGAGGTAAGATATTCCAGTCAAATACTTTTAACCCTTTCTAGTTAGATATTGAGGTTAGCTCATCACTGCATTTCATTCTGTTGGGGTAACATCAAGACAACCTCAGAGTTGTACTACTGCTTCTAAAGTGACTACTGCCATGTAGTCAGTTTGAGAAACTGATGTGTTAGTAGAAATATTAATACTCTGTGAGCACATTCATTTTGACGGAATGCATTTGTAAGTCAGAACATTTGCAAAATTAATTTGGGCTAGAGTGTTATGACATGTCATAACTGTTTTGACTGATAAGGATATGGTTGTTAGATCAATGAGATCTGTAGAATGACATTAATTCTAGCATAATTCCTTTTCAAAGGAAAGTCAAACTTAATACCTGTCTGTATGCCCCTTATTAATCTCTATTTTATGGGAATTGGAAATTTAACCCCATTGTTGGACATACTCTTTCAGCCACCTCCCATCCTTACAGTAACTTCTCTGGGACCTGTCTTAATGATTCAACTCCAGTATTTTCAATCTTTGAAGTGGGTGCTTTGTAAGGATTTCCCTAAGCAAGTCTATTTGCAGTCTTCCTGTCTGCCCCCCCCCCCCAAATTCAAGCTTCCTCCTAGACTCACTACCCTATTGATACCAGGGTACTTGTATAAATACCGATGTTTCTCATGATGTAACATCATATTTTGTGCAGTTGTTGTAAAGCTTTTTGTAATTTTTGTTCTGAATTTTAAATTATTGTCTGGACATCTGTAAACAGTAATGTATTAAGAAGAGAAGAATATCAAAACAAGCATAATAGACCAGAAGGAGAAGAGTTTTTTGGTTTGACCATGTAAGCAATACGAGGCCGAAGCTGGAACAGGAAATACTCCTAGTCCCTTAAATGGAGATGATGGTGATACTACCATTGTTCTCTCTAATGTTGCAGGTAGGAGACAAGGGGTACCGACGCCTAACTCTTAAACAGCAAGTAGGACTTCGTCATGCTGGCTACCATATTGCTGTCAGCAAAGTGTTGAAGGACTCTGAAGGAAATGTGGTGGAGCTGGAAGTGAAGTGTGAACCATCATCTGTAGGAGAAAAGCCTAAAGCTTTTATCCATTGGGTTTCACAGCCTCTGAACATTGAAGTCAGACTGTATGAAAAATTGTAAGTATTAATTTATCGAAACTTGGTAGTTTTACTGTCATGGCTACACAGCAACTAATTCTAAGGAGCAGAATCCTTCTTCATAAGCTGATAGTTTGCTCACTGCTTGCCTAATTAATAAATTCCCCATTCTTTATGGAAACTGAAGGTTCATGTATAAGATTTTGCCATTGGGTCCCTGTCTAGAGCCAGGTAAATTCCATCCACATCCTCCTCCCACCCTATTTCCCTAACATTCGTTTAATATTCTCTGAACTACGCCTTAGGTTTTCAAGTGGCCTCTTTTCTTCAGGCATTCCAACCCAATTTTTATAATAATTTCTCATCTCCTTGTGCATGCTACTTGCTGTGCATATCTGCTTATCCTTTGGTTTGATCATTCTGATATCTAGTGAAGGGTATGAATGATGGAATTCCTCATTATGTAATTTTCTCCAGCCTTCTTTCACTTATCTCTGGTCACAAAATTCTGGAGCTTTCCCACACTGCTATTGGATGAGTACCATGATTAGTTTCCCTGCAAATGGGGCAATTGGGATGTGAAGATGAGATTTGTACTCACTGCAGTGAATAAAATGTTGGTTGCCTGATTTTTGCTGTGTGTGTGTGTGGGGGGGGGGGAAAGATAGCTCATAGCTCAGTCTGTGATGTCACTTGTTATAGGTTGCATAATTGTGCTTTGATTCTTGGGAAGCAGGTTTTTTTATCCTCTTGGCTTTGGACCGGCCTGGAATCCTGTTCAGTGGATATTGGGGTTTCTCCCTTATCTAGTGTCAAGATTAGGAATGCACGGAGCTTTATCCTCCATCCCTGTGTCATCATGGTGTGTTGCATAGGCACATGGTTAACTTCACCTTTGTTAATTTAATTTGCTTTAAGAGATGCATTGTTGACTTTTTAGGATTATTGTCATCACACTTGATGGCTTATTGTTTTTTAGGGATTTTGTGTTGTACTTAATTTTCATATTATGTATGCTTTTTTACAAACCAGATTCAAACACAAGAACCCAGAGGACATAAATGAAGTTCCAGGAGGATTTTTATTGGATTGCAATGAAAAGTCATTAGAAGTTGTGCAGGCATATGGAGATGTGTCCTTGAAAAATGCTCCTGTATACAGAAAATTCCAGTTTGAGAGAATTGGTTTCTTTTCTGTGGATCCAGATAGCACAAATAAAAAAGTGAGTTTGTAGCATCATACTCCAAATAAATTGAAATGGTAAGGTGGTTTATATGGACAGTGTTCAATCACTTGTATATAACTATATTGCAGTTATAAAGTCGCATGTGGTTCACTGTTCCATGGTTTTGATTGTACCCCTTATAGACCCAAATCACCAGATTTTTTGATGATTTCCTGAACAGTTCAGATATTGAGGTTACATAAATCAGTGACTGTCTTTGTTTTCTTGTCTTCTCTGCCTCTTTCTTCACCTTATCCTTTGTTTTCTTCCTCACTTATTCTCTTTTTCCACCTTTTTCTTACCCTTTTCATCTTTATTGTTGTCCTTTATCTTCTTTTTCTTGTTTTCCTGTTCTACTTTTCTTCCTTCTCAGTATCTTGACATGGACAGTTGTGCATCACCCCCCCCCCCCCCAC